TGCCTGCCCCACCCCACCCCTCCCTGCCACAGTCAAGTGCAGCATTTGGCACCTTTTAAAGCACCTGCTCTGGTCCCATCCCACAGTCTGCGCCATGCCAGCACCCAGGACACTACAGCAGCTGTTCTGCTCCAGCCCAGCCCACCAGTGAGGGGATGGTGGTGTATCCAGGGTCACCCCAGCTTGCGGGAGGGAACCCAGGTATCCAGAGGCCTTGCCCAGAAGCCACAATTAATTATTGGAGAACATTATCGGCCACAATGCCCAAAAAAAGTTGATAGCTGATAACGCAAGTTTCCCTTTCATTTGTGCTGAGCCAATAGACAACCGATATATTGGTGCACCTCTACTATTATACCTGACAAGATTTATGCTAAGAGCATTCATTCCCTCACAAACTGATTTAAGGTATTTGTCTTGCAGTATTAACAGGGAGGAAACCCTCACCAGCATTTCCCCCACTCACTACTGATGAATTGCACTGATGAATCATCATGTCTGAAGATCCTGCTCTACCCTTGTGTACAATGATGAAAATCACCTTCTGTCTGGGGGAGTAAAACAGCCACTTCTCAGATGGTTCTTTCACTGCAATGCTAACTTATCTCCAGAGCTTCCTTCTGAAGCCTCCAGCTAGGGGTTGAGTACACACACACGAACTAGGCCCACAATTTTGTTCCTCTCTTTTCCCTTTCCCTCCATATATTGTCTTGGAATAGTTTGCCATGTTCTAAGGTCTGAGCTTTCCAATGATGCTTTATTCCCCATAGCTGTGACATATGGCAAAATGATGCAAGCCAGAACTGGAAGGGAAAAAGATTGGACATGTGATAAAGGTTGGTGAATGGAAGTCAGAAGTCCTTGCTTCTATTTCTGGCTCTGTCACTAAGAAGACTTCAAATGATTTAGGCTTAATTTTGAACCTTAATTGGTTGTCCAACACGAGATACTCAGAACCTTTATTTTCAGAACCACAGAGCTCCCAAGAAGTCCAATTAAAGTGAATCAAAACTACAGGAGTTCAACATCTCTGAAAATCAGAATCTCAGTTCAAGTAGATTATCCATAAACTGAGGTCCCCAAAGGAGTGGTCCCTTTTGGAAATTTAGGCCTAATGCTATTCCTCAGATTCCCATTCTCTAAAAAGAAGGTAGAAGGTCTTGTAGAATGTGCGAGATTAATTATATTAGTGCTTTTAAACCATAGCAAGTTCTGCAGATAACTGCATAGTAAAAACCAAGTACATCAGGCCCCAAGTCATACCTCATCCCATCTGAACTCTGATTGGTTGTCTTTAGTTGGGCTATGGAATGGAACCAGTTTGGGACTTATACCATCTCCTAGCTCTGTCCAACTGAACTGGATAAGTGTTATTACTGATACTTGCCCAAACCCCCAATTTATGAGATACACTTCTAAGATCCATTCTCTTTTGCAGAGACTGAATTTAATGGATTGGTTTCCCTCACAAATATTCAGTTGGAAGGAGTAAAACTGCAATACTTTCAGCATTCTAATCATAAAACTGTAGGAGAGTAAAGTAACTAGAGAGAGACTATAAATTTCTAACTCTATTTCATTCCTGCCTCAAAAGGATGGATTGTAGATTTAAGCCAAGTCAGGAAGAATGAAAGGTTGCTGCCAGCACAGCTCAGAAGAGTGAATGAGGTGGCTAAATTTAGAGAATGGAAAGTAAGTCTTTGGAATAATTCATGATGTTAACATTATTTATTATGAACAAGTCTTTACACTAAAGCTGATAAATCCTTTGTAAGGATCTGTTTGCACCTCTGAACCATTTTAAAGCACAGAAAGGAAAAGGTCTTTGGTGCTTCAGTATTTCATCAATAGTTGACACTGACAAGGTTCTGTTATAAAGTAGCCCATAGAGACCTCACTAACTCTAGCAAATGTTAACAGCACCAATGCAAAAAAAGTGGGAGAAAAAGGGAGTGGGAGACGAGGAGGAGAAAGGCCGGAAGGAATCTGGAAACAAATTAGATGGTATATTTTGCAATTGTTTTTCAAAACCTTCCTCAAAGATATTTCAGATTACAGGTTAAAATCAATACTTCATAACAACCTGCCTTTCTCTAAAGAATAAAAGCTAGTATGGAAAGATCAAATACACATGGGTTCAGAGGTTTCTTCCCTCCCAAACGTGTACAAACCTGGGTTTCTTGAAATAGCTTCTAAGCATCTAACAATGAACATAATGATTCTTTTTTTTAATTAAAATACATCAGCTGAAATGATATATGGGTATGTGCAGGATCTGTTTATCATCAGCAGGGCAGTAAGATAAGGGTTGTGCCTGCAGTGCAGCTAACACTGTATTACCCATGATGCACAGTGAGTTCTAACAGCTATAGAATCAAAGCTGACTGCTCTGTTTGAATCAAAGAATGACACCAATGTGTAGACAGCAGCTGCCAAAAGCTGATTTTCTAACTAATTCGTCTAGATGTCAAAGCTGAACTACTGTATCCTTTGGACTAAAGTCGTATACAATGTACAATGCATCCAAACTGACAATGAGTAAAATGGAGATTACAAACTTGACAGAACTTTATTCTGTCTATAAAATCATCTCCTACCATTTTGATGACAGGAAAGTCACTGGGTTTATGTATTAAATAAAATAAGCCTCCAAAACTGTAGCTCCATATAAAGTAGGCATGTGCAAATAGGGAGGTTTTCAATTTGGATTCGGCCGATTTGGAGGGCAGTGCTTCGATTCAGAGATTTGGATCACTACCCTGAATTGATTTGGCTGAATCAGCTTCGAAAGATTTGGCGCTGATTCAGAGAGATTTGGTGATTCGGATGGGCTGGGGAGAGCTGCAGGAGAAGCCCACATGGCTGCCCTGCCTGGCCCCAGCCTCCTGGCACTTAAAAAACCCCCACAAAAACAAACAAGCAAACAAGCCCTACAACTCACTGGCTCTGGCAGTGGCGATTGGGGCCTCTGAGCTCCCCTGCGCAGCGCGGGGCAGCAGGGATCACCACCCTGCCTGGCGCCCGCATGACAGCTGCCCCATGGTGCAGGTGCAGCGCGGCTCAGCAGGGTGTCACGCGCTGTCTGGGCCGGGCTCTGGGTAACGTGGAGCTGCCTCAGCTCCCAGGAGAATTGAACCGGGGCTGGGGAATCAAACTGGATCTGACCTCCGAGGGCTGGGGATTATATCAGTTAATACTACAAATCACAAAGGAGTTATGTGATTTTAATTAATGGATGTTTAAAAATAACTTAGAATCTTAATAAAGGTTCTACATATTTAATATTGTTCATACTGGCCTCGCTAATATCCTCAGACTTTCCTTTCCTTCCAAATCTTACTTACATTTAGCTTTATACTATATAACACAAAAAAATAAACTATAAAATAACACAAGCAGGTATGCATTTTGCACTGACTTAGCACTCCTGCAAATAAGTGAGAGTTCCCCATAATCCTTACATTTGCATTCTTGTTGCACAGGTCCGGGTTTTCACTTACCTCATTGGAAGGGAAGTCACTTTTGCAGAAAACGTGAAATGGATAGCTTGCAACAACAAAGGTGCTGTACTATGAAAAATCACTATACACTTCCCCCACAGACTGCAGCTGTGTGTTCTTGGACTGCAGACCCTTTAGAGCTCATGCAATGCAGTTTGAGCCTGTTTAGCATTTGGCTGAGGACATCCAAGGAAAATATAGGAATTGCAATTAGTAGTATTGGTGTTACACTGCCTTAGCCCCTTGGTATTGAACCAACTTACAATATTTTAGATATTAGGTAAATGAACTTTTATTGATTTCATCCTGAGTCAGAAGTTGATTTCGTTCTTAATTGGATGATTTATTTCACTTATCAACAAAGGTTGGTTGAATACAGAGGTTCAATTATAATATTTGTGATTGGAACTTGCCCTATTCCTGATTAGTTATGAAATTTGACAGTTGCTTTTGTTAACTAGGCAGGCACTTAAGCTCAAAATTCCCCCATTTTATGAGTATTCCCAGTTGCTAAATTTGAGCTCTAACTTGCACACAAAAGGGTTGCAAGTAGTTTTGACTTGATATTTTGCCTGTTGAATACAAATGAACATTCATGAATAATCCAGGAAAAGGCCTTGGGAGAGTGATGCACTTCTGTTCTTTCATTAAGGCTACTACACTCAGATCTCCACCCTGGCAGACGTTCAAGAGAATGTGATGGAGTATCTGCATGTGCTTAGTCGTCCAATGGTCATCAACCATGATCATGACATTATTTGGACTGAAGCCTATATGGACAGCGCGGTAAGAACATTGAGGAAAAAGCTTTTAGTCATTTGATGGGAGGGCCTGCGCAAAGGAAAGGTTGGAGAACAGGCATGTTTTACCTGGAACACATGGAGAAGCCGTCTAGAACAGCATTTCTCAACCTGTGTGTCTCAACCCAAATGTGGGTCACAAGATTTTAAAAAGTCTTGGGGACATCTGAGGGAAATGCTGCAAGGCTTCATGGAGCTGGCAAACAGTGTGGGGGGCATGGCAAGAACTGCAGCAGAGCAATGTAAAGCAGCACGAGACGGGGAGAGGGAGGGAGAGAAGGAGGTAGGGGACCAGATAGAACAGGAGCATAAGGAGGGGAGGGAGGGAGAGAGAGAGAGACTCTATGGGTCAGGGACTGAAAGGGTGTGGGTCATGGCAAGCTGATAGTAAAGCTAATGGGTCCCAGTGTGAAAAAGGTTGAGAACCACTGCTCTAGACCTGCAAGTCTATAAAGAAGTTATTATGCTCCAGCACCATTTAGACAGTGTTTCTTTCCCCTTGATCCTGAAACTGAATCTTCTGTGCAGCTTTGAGTTCCCTTGAGCTTATGCAGTGATCCAGGAGCCTAAAGTTAATTACACAAGTGTGGTATGATTTAAGTAGACAAGGTTCCTTGGGTGAATTTGATATCTTTTATTAGACCAACCCAAATGGTTGGAGAATAGTTATTAAGCAAGCTTTCGGGTTCAAAAACCCTTCGTCAGGCTCAGGAAGCTGCAGCAGTTGGTGTGTGCTCTTCCTGGATGGAATGAAAAGTATTTATTACCATTACTTTCAACTGTAGCTCAGTGAGCCAAGGAAAAGCAGAGTGGAGGAAACTGGAACTTCAATAACATTTAACTATGCCAGTTATGAACTAACTTGGAGTCAGAAAATAAAAATCTGTCATTTCAGCAGCACACCTGAGCTCATCTAATGTATTTTTTGCTTCCATATAAATAACTGCCTTTGCCATATTCATAAACAGAACAACATAGATGAAATACCTGCTTATCCTGTAGGTCTGAAGATAGTTCATAGCTTTCAGAAAGTGATCTTGATCTTTTAATAGCTTCTTCCTCTGCTTGTTTTCGCAGTATGGATGTTGAATGCTGAAGCTTAGGTCTCCGGGATCTTTGTTGCCCAGGGGAGACAGAATACAGCCCGTAAGCAGAGTGGTCGTAATGGTCTGGGCTTATAGCTGAACTATGTGTTATAGGTCCTTGATGGTAGGTAGATGGGCTATCCAAAGATGTGCCAGTTTCACTACTTGGAGCCTCACCCTCAACACTAGACAAAATAAAGGGAAAAAAGTCTCCATTAGGCATTATACACCAAAGATCTCAGCAGTTAACTAAGAGCACACCTCCAATTTCAGATTATCCAGATGTAATTCATTATTTTATAAAATCTAAATGCAGTTGTCTATGTTGTAGATGTCTTGCTAAATACCATAAATTTAGGAATTACTTAAGCAGATTTCTATTTTGCTGGAATGCGAGGCAGAGGTTTTTAGAGTATGAGTCAGCAGGAGAAGTGAAATTGCCACCATTATTTAAGTTTATGTAAAACTTTTAATAATATCATGAATAACTCACTTGACTCTTTCTATAAAAGAAAACAGAAATCAAGATATTCACGTGCGTTGACTAATGAGACTAATACAAAAAACTGAGATGTACGCATATTTGTACCTTTTTGTATTATAGAACAAATTACAAGTCTTGATGTTATAACTTAGGTTGTAATTCAACATAAGCAAATTACTTCTTTTCCAAGGAAATGTGGGATTTAAGTGGTCCTGGATGCAACAATGGATTCAGTGAAATTAAAGATTCTGTGAAATTAAATTCAGTGAATTAAAGACAGAGGAAAAAATATACTGTGGTAATCTAGTCTATTACTTTGCCAGTGCAGGATTGTTTCCACAGGATATTTCTGTAATGCTTTGTCCAATCTGGTTTTAAAATATCCCAAAAGGTGGGGTTTCTAGCTAATGAAAAGAACATAACTTCCCAAGTAATACATATGAGAACTCGAGACCTCTAATAAACTAATTTTCCATTTTCATATAAATGTTATGAATGCTAAAGAACAAAAAGGAGAAAAATAAAAATGAAATAGTGGAACATGATGATAATTGTTTCTAAATGGAATTTGTTTAAGAAGTTGACACTGGTAGTATCATTTATTCTTTTAAATAATAATTTGCATTTTTTCATGTAAGAAAACTCTAACAATGCAAGCTGCTATGCTTCTTTTCCATAAAGTTAAATTCAAACACTCTAAGTATCCTGCTTACACAGAACACTGATAAGAAATAAATTCTTATTTATGCTGTCATTCAAAAGAATCAGCAAACTCCTGTTCCCACAACACCCAGGCACAGATACAAACTCTTATACACACACATTGCCTACCTTTTGTTTTTTTTAAAAAGGCATCAGGAACCTCAAGGAATAAAATTTTGTGTGTCCTCAACTCTGGCTTACATTTGTGTATAGCTTTCATACAGCCCACATATACACAAACATAAAAAAACCCTATTGTTGTCTCTTAGAAACAAAACACCATGGTCCCTGTTTAGACATACACCACAGCAGTCCCATCAGCAGTTCAAAGTACAGTGATTTCTGAAAGAACATTCTCCAGTGGATTGCAGTGCCAGAACAGATCAAGGTTAACACTGTCAAAACTCTTCTTGTCTGAACAGTGTGTACTTGTATAAGTGGAAAAAAAAAAGCTTTTGGATTTCTCAAAATATTTCTGTAAATTTTTAAAACTGAAAACAACCTCTCTTTCCTTGCCCATCAAAATATGACTCTCCCAAAAAAGGTGTTTTCAAACATGTTTTACCCAAACTGGAAAGGTTTCAGTTTATACACAAATCACATTTTCCAGAAAGGAAGCTGACAGGAAACTAAATCCTTTCCCTTAAAGATACAGCTGGGTTTCAACTTAGTGATTAATTAATCTGCCAAACTTTTGCAAATAACACTGAAAATATGTAGATTTTAAAAAAATCTAGCCTAAAAATTCCATTTAATTCAATTGTTTCATATTTAAAAAGAGTGTTTCTAGTTTTGTAAATGAGTTGTTTGGCTGTATTATTTTGTACCATGCAGGTTCCTAATTAAAAATCTGTCCATAAGCACAGTTGTGACAAGTGATGCCAGAATAGAACAAGGTTTTAATATTTCGTCTTTCTTGGGTCTGGTGACATATTTTCTGCCTTCCTCCCTCTTAAATTGTAAATTATTTAATAGTCCTTTTACTGTAAAGATGAACATATTGACATTTTAATAATGATACCAGTTCATGGATTCTTAATGACTTTTAATGCCATTAACAAAAGTCATACCAGTGGTCATAAACATTTGGTGAGGGGTTTGGCTGAATATATTGATTTTAGAAAAGCATCCTGTTTCCCTCCTTTTATTTTACTTTTTTTTTTTTCCAGTAATGCCTACAACCCCTGAATGACTGATTTAATTTTACTTGTAAACCTGCTCCCTACTATCACGTCTGACCTTTGAAGCAGGAAAGTAATTATCTTTTACAACATGCAGCCTCCTGCACAAGGCATGACAAACCCATAAAGCAAGCAAGGTACATTTTGCATTGCATATTTGAAAGCCTTCTTCCCCGCACCTCCTTGCTAGTCCACTAATTTAAAGGGTGAGATTTTTTGTGATTAGGTTAATAAAAAACCCAGTTGACAAAAGTTTCCTCCTTATTAGTACTTTACATGTCATTTTAATACAAATATTAATGTTTTAATAAATGATTTGCATAGAATATTAAGAAAAGTAAAAGTAATTTCCTCCAAACTATTATTGGGCTGCATATGTTGCTCTATCATACAGTGAATTTAGTACTACTGTGCATGTTAGGAGAATAGGTCTTTACACAGATTCACAGTTTAAGGCTGGAAAGGACCTTGTGAGACCATCAGATCCAGCCCCCCTACTCTGGGCAGGAAAGGCTGTGGGGTCAAATAACCCCAGTAAGGTGTGCATCCAGTCTCCGTTTGAAGATCTCTAGGGTAGGTGCCTGCATCATCCGCACAGGAGTCTATTCTAGAGTCTGGTCACATGAACCATGAAGAACTTTTTCCTTGTATCCAATCTGAAACCTCTTTTTTAGGAGTTTATGACTATTGCTCCTGGTTTTCCCCTGGGGCACTTTGGTGAATAGCTGTTTATTTTGCAACAGCAATGGACCGAAAAAAATGGCAACCCCTCTCCCCCACCCCTATCAAATAGGGGTGAACCGACAAAGGTTTTCTTGGATGATACTGATAGCCAATTATTAACCAGCTGTATCGACTGAGTCGATAACTGATATTTAGCAATAAAGCTCATTGAACAAGCTTTAGTTCAAGTGTTCCCACCACCATTTCTAAGTGTGGGGTTGCTAATACAGGAGACAAGGCAGCACTTTAATTACAGCAGCAGTCGGAGCTGTTCTAATTAAAGTGTTGCCCCCTCAATCCCAGAGCCCACGTAAAAGTGCCCCATACCAGATGCAGCCCTTGCCCTTTAACCCCAGCCTGAGAGCAGCTGCCTGAGCCTGAGGCTGCCCAAAGGGAAAGGGTCCTGCAACACAGCAGGGAGTCTGCCCAGCCCCTCCCAGGCTCTGCCCCAGCCCCTAGGGGACAGACCCCCAGGCACTGTGGGTTGAATCACGCTGGGTCGGGCCAGGCTGGGCTGGGCCAGGCCAGGCAGCCCAGCTCTGCCTGCCCCACCCCACCCCTCCCTGCCACAGTCAAGTGCAGCATTTGGCACCTTTTAAAGCACCTGCTCTGGTCCCATCCCACAGTCTGCGCCATGCCAGCACCCAGGACACTACAGCAGCTGTTCTGCTCCAGCCCAGCCCACCAGTGAGGGGATGGTGGTGTATCCAGGGTCACCCCAGCTTGCGGGAGGGAACCCAGGTATCCAGAGGCCTTGCCCAGAAGCCACAATTAATTATTGGAGAACATTATCGGCCACAATGCCCAAAAAAAGTTGATAGCTGATAACGCAAGTTTCCCTTTCATTTGTGCTGAGCCAATAGACAACCGATATATTGGTGCACCTCTACTATTATACCTGACAAGATTTATGCTAAGAGCATTCATTCCCTCACAAACTGATTTAAGGTATTTGTCTTGCAGTATTAACAGGGAGGAAACCCTCACCAGCATTTCCCCCACTCACTACTGATGAATTGCACTGATGAATCATCATGTCTGAAGATCCTGCTCTACCCTTGTGTACAATGATGAAAATCACCTTCTGTCTGGGGGAGTAAAACAGCCACTTCTCAGATGGTTCTTTCACTGCAATGCTAACTTATCTCCAGAGCTTCCTTCTGAAGCCTCCAGCTAGGGGTTGAGTACACACACACGAACTAGGCCCACAATTTTGTTCCTCTCTTTTCCCTTTCCCTCCATATATTGTCTTGGAATAGTTTGCCATGTTCTAAGGTCTGAGCTTTCCAATGATGCTTTATTCCCCATAGCTGTGACATATGGCAAAATGATGCAAGCCAGAACTGGAAGGGAAAAAGATTGGACATGTGATAAAGGTTGGTGAATGGAAGTCAGAAGTCCTTGCTTCTATTTCTGGCTCTGTCACTAAGAAGACTTCAAATGATTTAGGCTTAATTTTGAACCTTAATTGGTTGTCCAACACGAGATACTCAGAACCTTTATTTTCAGAACCACAGAGCTCCCAAGAAGTCCAATTAAAGTGAATCAAAACTACAGGAGTTCAACATCTCTGAAAATCAGAATCTCAGTTCAAGTAGATTATCCATAAACTGAGGTCCCCAAAGGAGTGGTCCCTTTTGGAAATTTAGGCCTAATGCTATTCCTCAGATTCCCATTCTCTAAAAAGAAGGTAGAAGGTCTTGTAGAATGTGCGAGATTAATTATATTAGTGCTTTTAAACCATAGCAAGTTCTGCAGATAACTGCATAGTAAAAACCAAGTACATCAGGCCCCAAGTCATACCTCATCCCATCTGAACTCTGATTGGTTGTCTTTAGTTGGGCTATGGAATGGAACCAGTTTGGGACTTATACCATCTCCTAGCTCTGTCCAACTGAACTGGATAAGTGTTATTACTGATACTTGCCCAAACCCCCAATTTATGAGATACACTTCTAAGATCCATTCTCTTTTGCAGAGACTGAATTTAATGGATTGGTTTCCCTCACAAATATTCAGTTGGAAGGAGTAAAACTGCAATACTTTCAGCATTCTAATCATAAAACTGTAGGAGAGTAAAGTAACTAGAGAGAGA